CACAGGGGGACATGGGGCTGGGGACACAGGGTGACACAGAGGGACACGGGGCCGTACAGGACTGCGGCTGGTCTCGGCGATGACACTGGCCAGCAGCTGCGACTGGGGCCCGGCCGACTTCACGTCCTGGCGGTTTTGCTCCCGGATCTGTGGGTGAGGACAGGGATAAATCCAACTGGGGACAGGGATAAATGCCCTCAACGACAGGGATAAATCCCCCCGCACCCCGAGACTCCTCGTGCCCCCCATCCCACCCCGGGCTCTGTGGGGTCCCACCTTGTTGCGCATCTCCAGCACCTCCTGCGGGTCCGTGTAGAGGGGCACGAACTGGTTGGGGTTCTCGATGCGAATGGGGGTCCCACTGGTGCCCTTCTCCACCTCGTCCGCTCGCAGCCACTGCAGGACCAGGGAGGGAACCCCAGAGAAGGTGTATTGGGAAGGGGGGAGACCCCAGTAAGAGGAGGGAGACCCCGATAATAGAGGGGAGACACAAAAAGTGCAGGGGGAGAGTCTGATAAAAAATGCAACTTGTGTAGAGGGGAGACCCCAGTGTAAAGATGAGACACAGTAAATGCATCTTGTACAGGGGGGAGACCCTGACACATGCAGCTTACATGAAGGAAAGACCTCAGTAGTAGAGGGGAGACCCCAGTAAATGCATTTTACATAGAGGGGAGATCCTGATAAACGTGGGAATACCCTGAAAAATGCACCTTGTGTAGGGGGGAGATCCTGAGAAATGCAGAGAGACCCAAATAAACTCAACTTACAGAGAAGGGAGACCCCAATAAGTGTGAGGAGACCACAATAAACTCATCTTACATAGAGGGCAGATCCCATGAAACGCATTTTGCATAAAGGGGAGACTCCAATAACAGAGGGGAGGCCCTGACGAGGCCAGTGGCTCTCAGTCCTCTGGAAAGGGGTGGTGGGATTTCAAATCAAGCACTATTACGAGCTGAGGGTGGATCCCTTCAAATTTTAGGGGGATCAGTAACATCTCAGCCACCCCTATCTGGGATTCCCCAAACCCCACCCATCATCATCCCCGACCCAAACCCCTTCCCAAATGTCCCCAACTCCCCCTCCTCGTGCAGCCCCAGCTGCCCCTCACCGTGGTCTTTGTCCTCTGGCCGCCGCCCTGCGGCTCCTCGGCCAGGTTGACCCTGGTGTAGGTGTTGGGGGTGTTGAGCCACCTCGTCTTCTCCTTCTGCTGCTTCTGGGCGTGCTGGCGCAGCGCGGGGGTCCCGGCGGGCTCCTCCTCGAACACGAAGGCCGTCACGGTGGCCGGGATGAGCACGTCGCTCTTGGGCTTGCTCTTCTCCTGCACGAAGGGGTAGCGGTACGTGTAGCCCGTGCGGTACCCCTGGGAGAGCAGAGAGCGGCAGTCATCAGGACAGGGAGAGCAAAGAGGTGCCTGAGCGCATTTGTGGGGGGCCTGGGGGGGTGGTTTGGTGAGTTTGGGTGCTCACCAGGTTGTCCAGCATCCTCATGAGGGCCTCGAACTCGTGCTCGCCCAGGCGGCTCTTGTGCAGGGGCCCGAAGGTGGTTCCGGCGCGGCGCACGGCGCTGGGGCCGTGGGGCACCCTCTGCTTGGCCCCCTCCAGCACGATCAGGTTCTCGGCGCCGCCCGCGCTCGCCAGCGCTGACACCTGCCCGGGGCACGGCATGGGGTGAGGGGAGGGGGACGTGGGGCAGCCCCAGCCCTGCCCACGGCCCTGTGCTGGCACACCTGGGGCATGTGGGGGGCTGAGACCTGGCACAGCTCAGTGCATGGACACAGGACACTGCCCTGACTGCAGAGACCTGGCACAGCTCAGTGCATGGACCCAGGACACTGCCCTGACTGCAGAGACCTGGCACAGCTCAGTGCATGGACTCAGGACACTGCCCTGACTGCAGAGACCTGGCACAGCTCAGTGCATGGTCCTGGGGCCTGTGGCTGAGCTGAGCCCACAGCTCCGTGCTCATTCC